ATGGTTACAGGTAGTAGATGGCGACAACAGGCAATTCAGAACCGAAAATAGTCATGAATGTCTACAATGACGGGGTCTACATGAAGTTCGGTGCTCCAATCGACAGGTTAACACGAGTTAAGAAAACGCCGCGCCCATCGCCGCGCGGCGGAGCGACAAATTACGATTCTCTTGCCCGTCTCCCGCGCTCGGGGAAACCCAGTCTCTGACTGCCGTTGTTGGGATGGCTAATGCTCGAAAACGAGAACAAAATACCGAGCTGCCACCAACCCATTTACAATAGATGTCCTGAACAGGGCATGTCTTGTGGCTTGGGAAATTTGTTGCTAAATTCCACCCCCCCCCCCCTGCGGATTCCCTCCTCTTGTACGACTCCGCATCCTTTTCCATCATAGCTACTACCCTACTGACTTTTCCCACCTTCTTACCACTTTTCCAAAAAATTTTCAGTTTTCACTTAAAAATGCCACCGGCACGGTGTGACAACCTTTTGGGTAGGACTGAGTCACCTGCCCTCCCAGAGCTCATCGAGTTGCTCGCTAAGGTGTAAAAACATCCGTTCGCTCATGTCGCGTGCCAGAGTGGCCTACTGTGCTCCCACTTGGGTGGCCTCGTTGAGTATCATCATTTGCTGAAAGTTCCAAAATGTATGAATAATTGCTTCCCTGATTTTCGTGCTGCATTAATCCTGACAATTATCATGTGAGTGAGAGTTGAGTGCTTGAGAACCCTTTGAAAACCTACATTCCTTTTGTTTTCAAGAAAAGTATCGATTTCATGTAATTGAATAGCACAACAAAGGAATATTTAGCTCGCAACATTTCGTTTCCACTACAATTTCGGCGCTCTTCAAATCAAATAGGAGCTTTTCTGGGAAATCGGACGTTTCTCAATTGATCTTGAACAATTCCCAGTCAACGAAAGAATCATTGAATACGAAAATTAATCGACTATGTCGAAAAATCAAACAAATGAGAAATAGTGATGGGGGGGGGAGGGTTCGAAAGCAAAGACGTTGCTCATCCGGGCGATTTTCGTCAATCAGTTATGTGGGGTAAACGTACGCAGTGTTTATTTGATTGGTAATGTGTTGGGACTGATCTGAAAATGATTCGGAAAAGTGTCTGGATCAGAGCGAAAGTAGCATTCATTTTTCAGGGCCTGACTCGTAAGGGCGCAAGTCCGTGAGGGAGGTAAGGACGAGGGGGGAGGGCATTGAGAGAAACTCGTGCAAGGTGCGAGTCCGCTAAGGGAGATGGAGGGGGTATTCGCAGGACGCTTCGTACAACAAGGATTATTAGGCGGTTCGGCGACGGGGGCATTTTGCACTTCCATTGCTTCACTAGTTCCGGTTTACAAGTCTCACTCTGGTGAAACTTGTGAACTCTTGTGAAGCTGGAGCAAGCTCGTCTAGCCACCATCCTAAAACGTGTCAACTCGAGAAAAGGCTATCTAGATGGGTCGACACATCGATGGAAAGCAAAATGCCGAAAGCCCCCCCCCTGCCGAGGTTTGATCGCGTTCGCGGAGTTTTGCGACACCGCCACCTAGAGGGTATGAAGAGCGCGTGGAGCAAAAAAAAATCATCATTTAAAAGAATTTTTCCGTGGTAGAATCCGAACCCCCGCCCTTACTCTTTCGAACAGCCATACTGCCTGCCTCCTCGAATAATCAGCAGATGGCGCTTAGTTTCAGTGAAGCTTGCTTTTCGTTGTCAGTAGTGAAGCTTTTTAAAAGGCTGTTGCAATGTTGGTGGTTTTCAGTGGTTGTTTTTTCCCGTAACGTTGGTATTTTGGTGTAAGGAGGAAAAAGAACTAGGATTCCGTTCACGTTGTAAAAACAGCAGTAGCCCCTGTTCTGTTGGGAGTCGTGTCTTGGCGGTGTACCCAAAAAGTTTTGGTGTTGGTTGAGGGATCCCAATCGATTAACTTGTTGGTGAGCTGTTTGAGTGATGGAGGAAGATATCTGAGGCCATTGTGCTGGATTTTTCTTAGAAAAATTCGATTCGATCGCTTTAATGGGGTGATTTGTTTTCACTGAATGTAATGCATTCCGTCTGTTTGCCCCTAGGCAGAGATATCCATGAATTTGGTCTATTTCAGGACTTCAACCTGCCCAATGTGGTCGTGGACGAGCAGAAAAGTCTGAAGAAGTACTGAAGATGATTGCTGCCTGTCGTTGTTAATATTTTGTAATTGTCCATAAATTAATGGTGGTCAATTTGCAAAAATATCGTTTTTGATTGTTGCACGTGTGCTACCCGTGACCCGGGGTGACAGTTGTTGTTTCCCGTGTTAAGAGATGAATAAATGAATGAACAAATGCTGGCTTGTGCTTGTTTCTTGTGCCCAACGGGCTCGTGCTCGCAAGTTGGCGCTTGTGCGTGTGTGTATGAGTGTGAGGGTGAGCACGCCTAGCGTCAACGCGGCGGCGTCAGGAGGGGCAGCCGCCAGCGGCCAGCCAGCCAGCCAGCCACATCCCAACGTAGTGCAGACGCTCCGGGCGCGCACACACATTCGCGGCCGTGTTTTATGGCGGATGGCGGTGCTGCCACTGTCTCTTCCACTGATCGTCTCCACTATCACATTTGATCTGATATTCAATGAACTTAAAGGTGCCCCAGTCGTATTACTCTCCCCCACCCGGAACATTACCCTATCAGTGATTGGTCACAGTCTCTTGGCGGATACGGTAGCCATAGCCCATGTTGAGGTTGGCGTCAGGTTATCGCTGGCCATCAAATGCATTTCGGAGACGTCTGTTCATTTCTCCACAGCTGGACTGAATTCTTTGCTATATTCACCTTCGCTGTGCTCGTCCGCTAAAGGTTTGATCTTGCTTTAATCGCTTTCGAAGAGGGTGGGAGCAGTTCGGCGACGGGGGGGGGGCAGTTTACGCGTGTGCTACTTCATACTTGTCGACCCATCGAGGGAGCGTTTCGTGACTTTACAAGGTTGGCAGGTTTTACCATGATGGCTGGACGAGTTTGCTCCAGCGTCACAAGGGTTTAGAGGTTTTACCAGAGTGGGGCCTGTAAACCGGAACTACTGAAGCAGCAAAAATGCAAAATGCCTCCGGCGCGGGACTGCTCCCAAGATAGTGGGTTCAAAACGAACGGCATACAGTACCCTCAAAAATCGTGCGTGGACTTAAATGTGTCCTCTCCGTGAACGCACACAATCGGACATACGGCAAGCTGAAGCTCCGGGCTGAGGTCAGGAAACGAGACCAACGCTGATTCTGCTTTTTACCTGGTCAGGGGCTGCCTAGGCGGGAATTGAGTGCGTTGTGTGCACTTGCTGCTCTTACGCGTTTAGTTTTTCGCGCGGTTGAAGGTACTGTATACCGCTTGTTCCACCGAACTTATACTTTATTCGAGCGCAGTTCGGCGACGAGAGGGGGGGGGGTTGCCTTTTCGTTGCTTCGTTAGTTCCGATTTACAAGTCTCAGTGTGGTGAAAACTGTGAAGTCTTATTAAGCTGGACGAGCCACCATGGTAAAACCTGTCGACTTTTTTACGCTCGTGAAAAAGCTCTTTATATGACTGGACACGTGGAAGGGAAGTAGCAGAAGTGCAAAATGCCCTCCCCGTTGCCGAACTGCCACTTTAGTCGTTTAAGGACCAACGATTTTTGGGTTTTTCCTCTCCCAGGGGAGATCAGCCGAGGTAGTGTGGTGTCATTTATGCTTGTGTATTCAAGCGCGCGACCCGCAAAGAGCTTCGGCTAATCCTTTTCCGGATGAAAATAAACATGTTGCTGCTTCTCCCAGTTATTCTAATGGGAGTTGGGAAGAATATATGGAAATGAGGGTTAGATCGGCAACGGAGTGGGGGGGGGGGAGGGGCATTTTGCATTTTTGCTGAGCCATCAAGTGGAGGCCTGTGAAATCTTGTGAAGCCACGCAATGATTCCGGCCAAAGTTTGCAGAGAACACCTGTCAACTCTTGTAAAAGTACTTGTCAACTTGTAAAGCCATGAAATAGAGTGGCTTGACAAGTTCGCTCGAACTTCACAAGAGTTCACTGGTGAAGCAACGAAACTGAAAAATGCCCCTCCATCGCCATACTGAGCCGTAATGAACCCTTTAAAGTGCCCAGAATTTTCCGCTGAAAGCTCCCAAAACAGCTGATCAATTTCAGGAATATTTATCGACGAATCGGCATTGCACGGATGTGTGAGCAATTTATATCAGGGCTCAAATTTATTGCTCTCAAAATTGTGCGGGTGAGTTCTAAGGCGTCTGGTGATTGATAAATGTTGTTGTTTAGCCCTGAAAAACCATTTGATAAACAAATCGCGGCTAGTTCCTAGTACATCTGCTAACAACCCGCTAATTGTCAGCTAATTTCCCGGTTGGTCGTAAATCAATTATTGTTTATATGCTGACCGCCACCTCTGTTCTGAGGAGGTGTAATAACGAGAGCGATGAGAGGTCTATCGACACACAACTTGCCGGATGTTCGACTGGTTGATTCAGTGGAATAAATCATAGGGGTTATAAATCATCAAAATGGAAGGTTACTGTAATATTTTGCAGCAATTTTAACTAGATTTTTGCACAAATCAGTCGTTGTGGAATTCGGGTTCAATTACGGCACTAATAACCTTGCAGGGGCATTTAAAGGACTCTATGGCGCTAATACCTCGAGGGGGCACTTAAATTAATAGTTGTTAGGGCTAGAGATCCCTAACGAGGGAAAGGTTGTATTTGGTCGTTGGATGGTGGGAGGTTTACTACCCTTTCCCCCCCCACCGCCTCCCTTCCGCTCG